TCCTCACCGCCCAGGTCAGCAGGACAGCAAGGGGTGGACCCTGCAACATGCACCATCTTGGTGTGACTGAACAGTCTTGGGTTTCCTACTCTCAGGCAGGGACACAGTCAAATGAAACCCTATTTCTCTTCTCAGAGATCCTGCCATTCCCTAAACTCATTGGTGTGGCTTCCTCTCTTGCCTTGTCTCCAGCCCAATCCAGGGCTTGGAGCCCAGAGAATGGGACCGTGGAGACCCCCATCCCCCTCCAATGGTCCTGGAAGTATCTGAAGTCTGACTGTATCTCTTCCCAGGTAGAGGACCAACTCCTGGGCTTGGCAGTCAGAGAGCACCATGCACTGACCCAACCTGACAGACAGTCCGGCGCCATCTCTCAAGGCAGATACCACACAGCCTGTGCTCCAAATATCACAAACCTAATAGATCACCTGCTCTCCGACAGTGTTTTACTCTAAGCCTTTGCCCTCAGTCCAGCCAGGTGTGCTGTCCTTGCCCCGTCCCCAGCCAGTCTAACCACTCAGTGTACAAGTCACTTCTCCCAGGTGAGGGCAGGTCCTCCTGGTTACTCTGCACCACTATTACTACACTCCGTTTCCCAATCTACTCCTGCACAATCTTGTCTTCTGGATCAGGAACTCCATAAGGACAAGGTCTAGGCTTCAGGTGTCTCACAATAACCACCAAGGCCCAGGACACAGTATACACAGAAGCAGCAACAGGAGAGCCAGGATGCTGAGCTCCACCTCTTCTGCTGGTGAGGCTCTGCCAAAAGGACAGCTCCCACCTGCTGCCTGCCTGTCCTCTGGCCTGGCCAGCACTCCTCAATTTGACCTTCCCAAGCTCTTTTATGCCCCAAGAGGTTTTAAGGCTCCTTGAGGGCTGGGCCTGGGAACCACACATCTCCTTCTAAAGAAACAGATAAGGTTCTCACTCTCCCCACCCAAGGACCTGGATCTGGTCTCTGGCCAGAATCCCCCTTTCCTCAAGCTTCCACTTCCCACCCTCGTAAGCCCTGGCCCTCCACCCTGACTGTCTCCAGCCCGCAATGGTCTCCTCTCTGAGACTTCTCTCAGAGTCTCTTTATTTCCTCTCTCTTTAGGCTTCGGAAGCAGTCTTCAGACCCAGGGACTTTTCCTGGGGATTATATGAGATGATCTGTGCATCTGTGGCATTCTTGGGCAAGTGGCTAGAGGCAACACACCGGGCCTGGGATTTGAGTTTTCCTGGCCCTGTCAGCTGCTGTAACATGACAGATTTACACAGCACTTGCACAAAACCAGCGGGTGCTTTTTCTTTAATTTTTCTTAAAATCTCCAATTCCTTCATTGGAACCGAGTCATTTTTTAAAAAAACTTCCAGTTCCTATTCTCCAGGGGCACTAGCTTCTTTGTCCAGTCTCCTCCCCTCTCCTAGTCACCCCCCAGACTCTCCAGATTTGGGGCTGGTGTCATCAATCCAATTTATTAAGTCCTCAATGAAGGGGAGGAAGGGCCACATCTCCCCCTGTAGCCCCTTTGGCCATTCTGATAGCTTCTGCTCTTCCCTGTCCCCTCAGCTCTGCCTTGATTTCCCCAGAGAAGGGGGATCTTTCTGCTGTCCTGTATGCCCTGAAACTAACATCCAAAGGGAGGCCAGAAGTCCTGAAGAAGTTTTCCAGCTCCCTGCAAGAATAGCCAGGGACAGAGAAGTCACAGGATCAGGAGGAGCAGGGCAAGCTAGAGAAGGGGGTAGAATAGACCAAGTCCTTCACCACAGAAGAAAAAAACCACACTGTGGAGGGGAAATAAATAGAGGGGTCCAGAGCAGCAGAGCCCAGGCCCCCAGGGCGCAGTGGCTTGTAGGTGCAACAGATGAGTGGGTGCATCTTGCCGCTTCAGCCACTGAGGAAGAGACGCTTGTAGGCCTTGTTCATCTGCTCCAAGAAGATGAAGGTGAGGACGGTGTGGGGGCCCAGGCGGGCATAGTACGGTGTGAAGCCCTTCCACAGGCTGAAGAAGCCCTCGTAGCGGACAACCTTGAATAGTACATCCTAGACACATAGACAGGCAGGGTGCTGGGGCTAGGACCTGGACTCTAGGGCCCCATTCCCCTTACCCAGCTGCCTTCACAACTTTCCCAGGGCATCCGACACCCCCTCTCAGGCCCACAGAATAGCTTCCTCACCAGCCCATTCTTGTATTCCGGCTTCCCATCAATCATCCGCATGTTCTGGATCCTGAAGGGGAGGAGACAAGGACATGAGAGACTGAAAGGAAACCCTCCCACCCATCTCCAGGCTCAGGCCTGCACACTCACCGGGTCTTGGCAATATCCACAGGCATGGAGGCAGCAGTGGTGACAAGACCACTGATCATGCTGGCACAGAAGTGGCACAAGATGTTGTCAGAGAAGTAGCCTGGGGGAGGTGAAGCAGGGGTGGCAGTCAGCTCAGAGGTGGCACAGGCCAGGCTGAGAGCTAAGGGCCCAGCTCTGGGTCTCACCTGAGTCCAGTAAAAACTGCTTGGACTGGGAGTAGGAGGCAAGCTGGGCAGCATTGACGACAACGGCCCGAGCCATGGTAGGGATGCAACCCTGGAGGTAGCGAAGCAGGGGAAGAGTCAGAAATCCCTAAAACCTGACCTCACATCCCCCAAGTCTCTAGCCCTTTCACTCACCCGCCACAGTGTGGGGACTCCCTCTTCCTGGGTGATTCGAATCAGGGCGTTAAACACATTTTTGTAGCCACGGCGCTGGTCAGCTGGAAGACTGGTGAGAAGGCAGGAAGAGGTCAAGATCAGGAGAGCCCACAGGAGCAAAGAAAGGAAGGCCAGAACAGGTAAATGCTCTCCTCTAGATCTGGCGTAAAATACTGGTCTTTTCACTCTAGATTCCAGGGAATGGGGCTGGGGTTAGGCTCAGACTTGGAACTCACCGGCCATCGGCAGTCATGCGGATAAGAGCCACTTCGGCTGGTGTTCCCACAAAGGCACCAGTGGCACCTGCAGTCATGCCAATCAGAGCCTTCAGCAGAAAGCCAGGAGGTGTACCATCAGCCCCAGTCAAGCGCTCAAACAGCACGGTATAGATGCCAAGGCGGGTGGTGGTATAGGTGGCCTGGCGCAGCAGGCCAGCTGACAGCCTGAGGAGCAGAGGGGTCAGCACATCAGGCCGAGGTCTGGAGCTGCCAACCCATAGCCTGCTTCCCATCCTGAGGCCCCAATACCCGGTGTAAATGCCCCTCAGGCCTTCTGCCTTCAGGATGCTGGTGAGGGCATGGAAGCTGGTTTTGTACTCTCGAGTCTTGGCCCCTTCACCGCTCAGCTGCATCCGATTCTTCACCAGGTCCAGGGGCTGGACAAAAACTGTGGCTCCCATCCTGGGGAAAGACAGAGGTGAAGAGCCAGGTGTTTCAGATCTACCAATGCCCACTGAAGCCTGACAGCAAAAGGTTACAAAGGTCAGGGCCTCCTGATTCAAGAATCAGGATGCTGATGAGCAGTGTATAAGAGTCTAATGTACACCAAGTGCAAAGGGTCTGAAAAGTCTAGTTGTCCTTAGGGACCATGCAATGAAACTGCTCCAAGCAGCTTTATGACAGTCAAGCAGTGGCCTGGGATTGCATACAGTCCGACACAGGGAGCGGAGGAAGGGGCGTCCAAGATTTAGGACTCAAGGTAGTCCTGCAGGGGCCATTTAATGGCCTGGAACCCCATGTAGCACGGCAGAGCTTAGTAATGCGCTGGAAAACTCAGGGAGCCCTGCGGGGTTTGTGCAACGACCCTGCATGCAGTCCAGAAGGGGCCCTACAATGGGCCCCTGGCAGCCCATCAGGGAACTCGCAATACGCTGGAGATCGGTCTGACCCCGTGCCGGCACAGTTCACTGCAAGAGACCCAGAGACGAACCGGGCCCGGTTCCTTACGCCCATCCCTTCCTCCTCTTTTCCCATCCCTGGGGCCTGAGCTTACCCGGCCAGGCCCCCAAACAGGAACTTGACGGACTTAGGGGAGGTACGGGGCTTCCCGTCCATCCCGCCGGCCGCGGGACTCGCCGTCGCCGCCATCGCCACTCAATGGCCCTTGGCTCCGGGTACTGTGTGCGCGCGACCCAGCTCGCGCCCAAGGTGACACCGCGCGCGCAACAGAGAGAGGGCGCGCGCACGCCCCTCCGTCTCTCAGGTCAGACACCCGCTGGAAGAGGGCGCGGGCGCAGGCGCGCAGCGCAAAGGCGGCCGGGAGTAAGGCGGTGCTGAAGGAGGAGCTTGAGGGATGCGTGAGGGGAGGGGTGTGGCTGAGTTAGGAAGCAGAGGAAAGGCACGGTTTTCACCGAATTGGAATCGCGGGAAAACAGAAGAGAGTTTGTTTGAAGCTCTCGCGAGATCGAGTGAGTACGGCTCGACAGAATAGGAGAGCTCTCGCGATAGACTCAACAAGCAGTCAGCTACGAGGGGACAGGGGAGGTGGTAAGCACTCTCGCGAGATTTGGAGGAGCAGCGGCGACCAGAGGGAGGAGAGGTTTGTAAATTAGTCGGCTCCAGGTTTCCGGGAATCTTTACAGAAAAACGATTAGATCGTCTTCTGGGCCACCGGTGCTTCTTCCATCTCCACAGGCACTCCCTCCATCGCTAACCTTTTTAAACCGGCCTTTTAGGACCGGAAGTCCTTCATCTCAAGCGTCCAATGCTGGAAGCGGCCGGACTTTCTCTACCGGAAGCCCTTTTCCAAAGGCTGGGAACCCGGCCCACCTGGCAGGAAGTCCCACCTTCTTGAGCTCCCCCACCCTTCCCGAAGTTTTTCTGTCAGCTGTGTTAGCCTCTGTCCTGTTTCCCAGTCTTATTCCCTTACCAGAAAAGGATACATTTAGTGCCTCCTGCTCAGCTCCACAAAACGGGTTGGATATCTCATTCTTTGAGTCGGGGTTCTCTCCCCGGCGCCCCCATGTAGCTGGGAAGTGCGACCTGGGGGTGATTGGACCCCCGGGATCTTAAAGAAGGGGCAGGGAGGGCGGAGAACTCCGCTTCTGCTCATTGCTGCCAGGACGCGCGGCCTCCTTGGCCTCTCTCCTCCCGCTGCCATGCACCCTGCAGCCTTCCCGCTTCCTGTGCTTGTGGCCGCAGTGCTGTGGGGAGCGGCTCCCATCCGGGGGCTCATTCGAGCGGTGAGTCCGAGGGACGGATGGGGAAAGGGCGCTTAAGGGACGGTTTGCAGGGTGAGGGGGAACATGGCCTTTTTTGTCCGCAGACCTCGGACCATAATGCCAGCATGGACTTTGCAGACCTCCCAGCTCTATTTGGGGCTACCTTGAGCCAGGAGGGACTCCAGGTGATTTTTTTTTTTTTTTCCTTCATATTTCCCAAATCTTCCATCCTGGGCTGGGGTTGGGGAGGTTTGTCCTGGGTGAAACTGGAGGTAGGAAATTCAGGTTAGGAACTGAGCACGTCTAGTGTGGAATCCAGAATCTAGAGGGGGAAGACAAAGTGTCTACCCCTAGAACTCCGAACTTGTCAGGGAGACTGAAAGTGGACAAAGGCAGGACCAGTAGGTTCTTATCAGGAGAGTCTCAGGAGCTTGTTATTGTTTGTATGATCTTGGGCAAGTTAATTTCTCTTTGAGCCTTAGTTTGGTTTACTGTAAAATGGGGTAATGGAAGTTTTCCTAGGGTTACTGTGAAGATTAAATTAGATAAGCAATTTTTGTAATACTTCATCCCAAAGACTGCCACAAAGCAAGAACTCAGTTGGGCCATAGATAGCAGTCGAGTGGTTTGTGAGGTGGTTAATTAGAAAATTGAAGAGGCCGGGCTTGGTGGCTCATGTCTGTAATCCCAGTTCACGACCAGCCTGGCCAACATGGTGAAACCCTGTCTCTACTCAAAATACAAAAGTTAGCGGGGCGTGGTGGCATGTGCCTGTAGTCTCAGCTACTTGGGAGGCTGGGGCAGGAGACTCACTTGAATCTGGGAGGTGGTGGTTGCATTGAGTGCCACTGCACCCCAGCCTGGGCAATGGAACGAGACTCCATCACACACACACACACACAAAACCGAGCTCAGTGGCTCACACCTGTAATCCCAGGACTTAGGAGGCTGAGGCAGGCAGATCACCTAAGATTAGGAGTTTGAGACCAGCCTGACCAACATGGAGAAACCCTCTATCTACTAAAAATACAAAATCAGCTGGGCGTGGTGGCACATGCCTGTAATCCCAGGTACTCCAGAGGCTGAGGCAGGAGAATTGCTTGAACCAGAGGTGGAGGTTGCGGTGAGCCAAGATCACACCATTACACTCTTGCCTGGGCAACAAGAGCAAAACTCCATCTAAAAAAAGAAAATTGACCCAGGCGCGGTGGCTCATGCCTGTAATCCCAGCACTTTGGGAGGCCGAAGCCGGTGGATCACAAGGTCAAGAGATCAAGACCATCCTGGTCAACATGGTGAAACCCCGTCTCTACTGAAAATACAAAAAATTAGCTGGGCACGGTGGCGTGTGCCTGTAATCCCAGCTACTCAGGAGGCTGAGACAGGAGAACCTAGGAGGCGGAGGTTGCGGTGAGCCAAGATCACGCCATTGCACTCCAGCCTGGGTAACAAGAGCGAAACTCCATCTCAAAAAAAAAAAAAAAGAAAGAAAGAAAATTGAAGGGAGGAGTGTGTTCTGTATGAATATGTGCTGGAGAGGGGACTGTGAAACAACTTGAGAGAAAGTGACATGGGTTGTTAGAGAATTGAATTACAATCAAAATATTAGAAGACAAAATAATTGCATTAGCTTGCAGTATGGAGTACAGATTAGCCCATTTGGGACAGCGAGGAGGACGATGGGAGCGGTGAGGGGATGTTGTTATGTCATCGCCTTTTCAGGAGGCTAAGAGAGGATTGTACGGGTGGGATGCTTAGCCCCAGGAATGAGAAGGAAGGGAGGATAGAGGATGTGCAGCATGTGGGACTGGTGTTTGGTGTGTAGGCTCTATAGAACCTAGGGAGGAGAAATCTAACTGTTTTTTGCTTCCATCCCTTAGGGGTTCCTTGTGGAGGCTCACCCAGACAATGCCTGCAGCCCCATTGCCCCACCACCCCCAGCCCCGGTCAATGGGTCAGTCTTTATTGCGCTGCTTCGAAGATACGACTGCAACTTTGACCTCAAGGTTGCTGAATGTGGAGTGGGAGCTGGGGAGCTGAGGGTACAAAAGGCACCAGTAATGGAGACAGCTAAGGCCCATGATGGCTCCTTGTCCTCTGCCTTGTCTCCCTAGGTCCTAAATGCCCAGAAGGCTGGATATGGTGCCGCTGTAGTACACAATGTGAATTCCAATGAACTCCTGAACATGGTGTGGAATAGTGGTAAGGCTGAGGCAATCTAGACAGCTGGGCTTTCAGTAGGACACAGACAGAGATGGTGGGAAGGCTGAAGGTTTCAGGAAAAGAGGGCAATACTTTAGATGGGGCGGGGCCAAAGTGCCAAATGCCAGGGTTCCCAAAGGATTTGAATAGAAGCTCGTGTCCCCAGAGTAATACCTTGATCCCTGCAGAGGAAATCCAGCAGCAGATCTGGATCCCATCTGTATTTATTGGGGAGAGAAGCTCCGAGTACCTGCGTGCCCTCTTTGTCTACGAAAAGGGGTAGGACATGTGCCTCCTTCCCATTCTTCCTTCAACAAGCAAGTTCCATGCCAACCTGGAGCCGAGGCCTCCTCACTGCCTCAACCATTCAGCCTCCTGTCCTTCCTTCCCTGCCTCTTTCTTCCCATTCCCTTCCCTATCCACGGGCTTTGTACAGAGCCACTTACTTCGTCCCTTTTTTTTTCCTCCCTTTGCCTTTCTCGCCCTGCTAAGACTGGTCATCCTTTCCCCAGGGCTCGTGTGCTTCTGGTTCCAGACAATACCTTCCCCTTGGGCTATTATCTCATCCCTTTCACAGGGATTGTGGGACTGCTGGTTTTGGCCATGGGAGCAGTAATGGTGAGTAACTGAGGGAACACAATGGGAAGTACTGAGGCCTATGTGGCCAGACTGGATCTGGAGTTGGGAATGGTTTGTCCTGGATTGTCTAGTTTTGTTCCTAAGCCTTGTCCATCCACTCCCCCTTCCCCCAGATAGTTCGTTGTATCCAGCACCGGAAACGGCTCCAGAGGAATCGACTTACCAAAGAGCAACTGAAACAGATTCCTACACACGACTATCAGAAGGGTGAGGGGTTTAGGGGAGAAAAGAGCTTTTCCCACTGTTTACCTGGTTCTGAAGGACTTTGAGCCCAGAAGATAGGGTGTACAGAGATAGCAGTGGCTGGGCACAGTGGCTCACATAATCCTAAATGCTCACTTTGGGAGGCCGAGATGGGCAGATCACTTGAGCCTGGGAGTTTGAGACCACCCTGGGCAACATGATGAAACAAAAAAATCCCAGCACTTTAGGAGGTTGAGGTGGGTGGATCCCTTGACCCCAGGAGTTCCAGGCCAGCCTGTGCAACATGGCAATACCCATGACTATAAAAAACACAAAAATTGGCTGGGTGTGGTGTACTCTTGTAGTCCCAGCTACTTGAGAGGCTGAGACAGGAGAATCATTTGAACCAGGAAGGCAGAGGTTGCAGGGAGCTGAGATTGCCCTACTGTGCTCCAGCCTGGGTGACAGAGGGAGTCCCTGTCTCAAAATAATAATAAAAAGAAAGATGGCAGTGAGAAGGTTTCAGCTTATGATGCCATCTTTTCTTCTCCTTTTACTCACAATGAAGACGAGAGAGGAGATGGAATAGAGATGGCAAGCAAAGATGATTAAGTGAAATAATTGGGGAAACAACAGAGGGACAGACTTTGCTGATAAGGGATGTAGAGCAGAAAAATGGGAGAAATGGGGAGGATTCTGTTAGAGAAGGAAAAAACAGGTACCAAGGGGCTGGGGCTTTAGGCCCTGGGGCCTCCAGTGCCCATATAAGGCTATGGCAGAAGCCCTGCCCATTTCCGTTCTTTCCACTCCCTCTCCACCCTCATACCTCCCCAGAAACCCACTTCCCTTCTTACCTCTGCTTGTCTTTGTCCCTTCTAGCCCCAAATCCTTCCATGTTCTGCCCTGACCTTATCCTGCCCACCTGTCAGCTTTCCCACTGGCTTTGTAGGCAAGGGAAAATTTTTGCAAGGCTTTAAAAGCCCTAATGAATTAAGGGACCTGGTTCATGATGGCTCAGTGAAGGACTAGATTTCTTTCTTTCTGTCCCAGGAGACCAGTATGATGTGTGTGCCATATGCCTGGACGAATATGAGGATGGGGACAAGCTGCGGATACTCCCTTGTGCTCATGGTGAGGCCTTCACTGTCTGCACATGCCCCTATGCCACTGGCAGCCTCTAGGCATTTCACCTTGTTCCTCTCTGCAGCCTACCACAGCCGCTGCGTGGACCCCTGGCTCACTCAGACCCGGAAGACCTGCCCCATCTGCAAGCAGCCTGTTCATCGGGGTCCTGGGGATGAAGAGCAAGAGGAAGAAACTCAGGGGCAAGAGGAGGGTGATGACGAAGGGGAGCCAAGGGACCACCCTGCCTCAGAAAGGACCCCACTTTTGGGTTCCAGCCCCTCTCTTCCCACTTCCTTTGGTTCCCTAGCCCCAGCTCCCCTTGTTTTTCCTGGGCCTTCAACAGATCCCCCACCCTCTCCTCCCTCCTCTTCTCCTATTATCCTGGTCTAGTAACTGTCCTCCCCACCACACACACTGGTAACCTATTTGCACATTTTCTTCCCTCCAGTTTTCTAAGTTGAGGGATAGGGGACATTTCCATCCCAAGCTTCTCCCTTACCCAGACCTATCCTTTTCAGGAGCCTTGGGGTGGGCTGGGACAAGCAAAGGGACTGGGTCTTCACTTCTTGGGCTAATAAAATTGTTTTTGTGGACTAAGGAAGGGTGAGATCATTCTCACACCGGTGAACTTAACCCTTTGGGGTAATCACCCCTTTAGCCGTAAAGAGCAAGGGAATGCTGGGAGACACTAACCTATCGTCATGGGGACAGCCCCACAGGCATTTGCTATGACTCAGAAGGGGAGCCCCACCCACAAGGATGACTCAACTGGCCCTGCCTTGCCTGCAGGCCTGGACCCATTTTCTGATCCAGATGGCCCTATTCCATTACCCACCAATTTGACGAGCATACTGAGGACTTAGGCTTAGAAATGCCACTGTGGAGGGGCAGGGCCACCTGGCCAGAAGCTTAAATCCCTGCACCTTGTAGTGCTTCAACCTTCCTGCTCCCAAGCCGCTTTTAAAGGAAACAAGTCACAGTGCCTATCCCATTCTGACACCCAAGCTCAAATCACACAGCACCTTATTAGTAGAATCTTTTTTATTCAGAAAAAAAAAAAAAAAAAAAAAAAACCCAAAAAACAAAAATGTTTTCCAACCACACACAGGAGGGGTATGGGTAGGGGGAGGTGTCTGTCCATCCAGCCCTAGCCCCCAGCCCATGTGGTTTTGGCAGCAATAAGGGGTGTGGGGTAATGGCCCCAAAAATAAAATGGTGTATGTGTGTATGGGGAGGAAAAGGGTGCAAAGCTGTGGGGAGCAGTGAAGGGGAAGGGACAGACGAGGTCAGTACTGGGCACGCCGAAGGTGGGAGGCCATTTCATAACATTTCTTGTTGATCAAACCACCGTGGACACCTTCTTTGCCCATCAGCAGGACTAGCGCTGGAGGAGGAGGAAAGAGAAGGGAGGCTAGGACCCAGGTGTCACAATTCCACCCCCTGCCAGCTGTTCAGCAGCTGTCTAGCCCTGGGGGATGTAACCCAACCTCATCTCTCCCAAACCACCCCCCCCCCACACACACACAGGCAGGCTGTCAGTCACCCTGAAACAATAAGGCTTTTCAAAAGGGGAAAATCAAGCTTAAATGCTGGAAAGGAACAGAGTAAAATTTAGGGGTCAAAGGCTGATAGACGGTTCAGGCTAGAAATGGCTATGGATGGGTATGCCACCTCCAGGTTCTAACAAGAGATCAAAAGATGAGCCAAACGATGACTTAGGACCCCAACAATCTACAGATACTCCTAGAAAACAGTTTCTAATCTGAGCTCAAAACAGGAAGGAATTTCAGAGGTAATGGCAGTTCAACAACTCTGAATTACAAGATGAGACACTGAGACAGTACTGGAGGGACTATCCCATGTTCCAGCAGACAGCGAGCAGAACACTGGTCTGACTCCTGTCATGTGGGGGAATCACACAAAAAAGCACCCTAACGATTACCAGAAGGCGGTAAATTAGAGATCTTGGAAGTACAGGAAGGGTAAGACTCAGGAACTCACTCTTGTCAGTCTTGGTGACAGTGACATTGAAGGTGGGGGCTCCACCGGTGCTCTTGGTACGAAGATCCATGCTAAATTCCCCATCCTGCAGCAGTGAGTCCCGGATAACCGAACATTTCTGGCCCCCAAGTGTCAGCCCATTCACATAAAAACTTGACCGGTCTTTGCCAACCAGGACACCAACCTCAGCTGGCTGGAAAAGGAACCAAGCACGCATCAGGTTAGTCAGTGCACCAAGATTCCCACCTTGTTCCCCAAAGACCCATCTGACTTCCACTTCTGAGAGTGAGAATCCCCCCCACCTTACCCCAGGAGAAGTGTAAGTTATGTGTTCAGTACACATCAATGAAATGGGAGAAACTCTTAGGACTGTGGGACATTAGTCCAGAAAAACAACATGATTCTCAAACCTGGAACATGGGACCAGGGAAGAAAGGATGACATACCGAGATTTAGATCTCGGTGCTAATAGGGAAAATAAATTCAGGATATAAAAGGGGCCAAAAGTCAGTGAGAAAAGTGAGGAGCCTTTGGATGCTCAGAACTCTCCTTCAGGAAAAGCAGAAGCGGAGAGGGGAGGGGAGGGGGGCGGGCAAGACAGGAGAAGCAACTTTGCCCTTATTTGGTCAAAGGTTCTGCAGAAGCTGTTAGGGCTCGGACGCCTGGGTCTTCAAGTAACCTAGAGTTTAGCTCCAGGTATCTCTACTCTGAGATGAGGAAGCAGACCCCTGGGGACTTTCCGGGAAAAGTTGGAAAACTTTTAAAGGTGGATGGAGGCTAGACCCAGCAGGCCACCTCTCGAGTCTAGGTACCCCAGGAACCTTTCTCCCCCTCCCCCTTTCACCCCAAGCCCCCACATCCGGTCCCCTCCCGCCCGGAAACCCCCTTCCCCCCTTTCGAACTTCCGCTCCCCCTCCCCACTTCCGGGCAGTGTGGACTGGGGAGATGGTGGTGGGAGCAGCGGTAATCAACCCATATTCTTTCGCTATGCAGTCTCACAACTTCTCACAAAGTTCCCCGGCTCCAGGCCCCGCCGGATGGCGGGAAGGGAGGGCGAGGGGACTTCCGGGATTGGCCTCGCAGGAATGTTGAGTCCAACGTGCTGAGCTGGGGGGGCGTGTGGTGGCCTCGCCCTCTCTAACGGAGCTGGGAGGGGCTGCGAGCCCACAGAGGATGGGCAGGGGACCAACACCACGCGCCTGGGGCTCCCTCCCGCAACAGGGGGAACAATGGTAGAGAGGCGCGAGCTGGCGACCGGAAGAGGAACTGGGGGGCCGAGGGTCCCCGGGGCCTCTCTCGATCCCAATCCCCAGTTAAAATTGAGGCGCGTACCCGCCCCACCCTGCGAGAGGCGGAAGTGGGCCGCCGCACCGGGCGCCGCGCCCCTCCCCGCCCAGTGCCCCGGATGTAACGCCTCGTCGCGGAAAGCAGGGTAGCGGGCGGGATGGGCGCCGCCGCCTGGGGCGTAGGACTTAGGGGCAACCGAGACCCGCTCACGTGCAACCGCCATTCGCGTCGCTTCCAGGGCAAGCACCCAGTCAGGGCCTCTCGCTGCGCGCCCTAGACCGCGGCCGCCCCCATCCAAGTCCCTCCCTTAGGGTCCAAGCCCGACCAGTGCCCCGGACCGCGCAGGCCTCGCAGTACCGTGATGTTGACGAAGGTTTTCCCAGGGACGGCGGCCCAGACGGAGGGCGAGTCCTTGTATCCCACGATGGCCGCGTCCTGACAGGTCCCGTCCGCCATGAGGTTGTCGATGTAGGCGTTCCACCCGGCCATGGCGCTGCTACTGGGGCTGCTCTCGGCGCTGCTGCTGGGGCCGCGGGCTGGGTTCGAGCTGCCTCGGCTGGCGGGCGGGGGGAGGCGAAGAGCTCGGGGAACACGCTGCCGTCCGGACCGCGGCTCTGCTCACAGTACAGCAGCCCTCGCACCGCCACTTCCTGCTCCTCCCCCCCCCCGATTTTTATTTGCAAAGGACGGTGGGGGCGGGGCCTACTCCCCATTCCCTCCCTCCCCCACTTCGCCAACCCAGACCGCCGAACTTTGCAAAGGCAATTTTAAAAATCCCTCCCCCTATTGCAAAATTTGCAGAGTTCGATGGAAAGAGATGTAGAAAGATGGGGGGTGGCAGGAGAGAGGTGAAGGGTAGGGTTCGCTCCAATTTGCATGGAATATAAACCAGACTTTGCTATCGGGGCAGAGTGAGCCAGAAGAAGGAAGAAAAGAGAAAGGAGGAAGAATTAGCAAGCTGCAAATTTAGCAAATTAAAGAGAGTTCGGGGAGCCCAGGGTTAAACTGGATGACTCCTCCTTCCCCCACCTCCGCCGAAGGGAAGGACCGGCGGGCGGCGGCGGCGGCGGCGGCGGCGGCGGCAGCGGCGGCGGCAGCGGCAGCGGCGACGCGTGTGCCTGTGCCTGCGCCTGCGCCTGCGCCGGGGACGGGAGGGAGAGAGCGTGGGGCGGTCGGGGCCGGAGCCGGCTGCGCGGGAGCGCGCCCGGCCCAACCGATGTGGACCCTCCGGGCAAGGAAGGCGGGCTGGGGACGTGTCTCCGGCCTGGCGGAAGGGGCGGGGGCAAAGGCGTGCGTGCTGCCGCCTCACGACCCTTGATTTTACTTCAAGAAATAAGAAAGCAAAGTGGGGTTTGGCCAAATCCCCTAGTCGCTCTCAGAGCTGAAGGCACCCACCGGGGCCACTTCTGTCCCCAGCGTCTGCCTGGGTCGTGCAGGTTGGGTTCACCAGGGCCCATTCTCGGTCCACAGGATTGTCCGTTCTCTGAATCGGCTGTAGTCCAGGGCCTTACCCCACGTCCCAGCCCCGCCCGCCCCGGGTAGGCAATGTCTGGATCACCGGCCGTGCCCCTTGGCCTGGGTCTGCAGAGGTCATTGAGCGCAGACACCCGCGGGGCTTAACAGGCGGGGCTATTTTTCGAGGCGGAAGAATACTCAAGTTGCAAAAATGACAACTTTTTCAAGAAGGGGAAAGTCCCTTCCACTTCGGGCCCGTTGGGTTTCCTCGCAGTCAGTTGTGCGCTTGCTGCCACCTGGGAAGGGCGGGGCGTCCGTGCGGCGGCCGTGGTGAAGCAGCCCTCCCGAACCCGCAGCCCAGGGCCGGGCAGCTTCCGGTGCCGCGGCTAGGGGCGCCCGGTCATAGAACGATGCCGGGGCGGAAAGGGACTTGGTTTTCTCTCTCATCCTCCCGAGCGCGGTGCGCAACCCTGGCGTCCACTCTGGATCCCACCGTCCCCGACGCCCCTCGAGCCCGTGTTCCTAGACAGCCGCGCGGCTGAGTCACTGGCGGGCTCGGGCGGGGCCGCTCCCGGGCACGTGGCGGCGCTCCCCGCCAGCCATCTCCTGACCCCTGGCCCGCCGCACCCCTACCCCGGGGTGGAAAAATCCCGGGAGGAGCGGCCCGAGATGAGGGGCGGGGCGAGAGGAGAGACGGGGCGGGTGGCCGGGCAGGTGGCCTGGGGTGGGGGCTGGGAGGCCGGCGGGGCAGGGAGCTGGGCTGGGGAAAGGGCGGCGGGGGTGAGTCACCCCGTGCGGGCTACCCATGCGCGGGCAGGAAGAACCTCCGAGTTAGGGCAGGCATAACTACAGAGGAACTCGGGGCGGACCCCGCACTAGCTCCAGAGCCGGCAAGGTGAAGAGCTCTACCGACAGCAGAGACCCACCCCCGCAATGTTAGGAGCAGGGTCCCGGAGGAGCCCCAGGCGTGCAGAAGTTCACAAAGGGCCACTCGTCCTCGGTCCATTCATTTTTGTTCACTCTCGATTTAACCCCATTCATTGATGGGCTGGGACCGTGCGCTGAGCGCCCACAGTCGGTAGGGAGAGGGGCTCCTGAACGACAGAGTCCACGCCGGGCGACAAGTGCTTTCCCAGCCTCATCAGTCGGGCGCCAGGCCAGCGCAGAGGGCCCGTCTAAATTCGTCTCCTGGCCCCTAACTCATCCCCGCGCTGGCTGGCCTGGAGAGGATAGGGTGGGGCGGCGCCGAGAATGGCCGTTAGGAGGACCCTAAGAGGTGAAACCCTCTCGCCTTCTGAGTAGGGTGGGGGTTCAATTTTAGACCTCAGAGTTGCCCAGAAGTCCCGTTCCTTCCCCCACTGAGGGCAGAGGCCCGCCCAGCGATCTGAGCATGTGTGAACGTCAATCCTGCAGCCCCCTCTTCCAGGCCCCCTCCCCAGCCCTGCAGGGCTCAGGTTACCCCTGGCCTTTCCTAAAGGTCACTAATGCTTCTTGACGTTTGCAAAAGGGGAATGTAATCCTGGGATGGGGGGACCCCCAATCTGAAGCATCTCCCCTTCTTCTCCCGATTGGTGGAATTAAAAGCAGGGACTGTTATTGGGGGACAGAAAGACAGTGGGAGATAGTAGTTGACCTTTGGTAAGGGGGCAGGAGCCCAGGGCCAGAGACTTCTGCTTTAGGCTGTAGTGGGCGCTTGGCTGCCAGCCCAGTGTGAAGGGGGGAGGATGGAGAGAGAGAGAGAGGCGGGGCTGGCTGGGGACAGGGTGGCTCAGGGATAAATTCGCAGCCTGAGAGGGGGTGAGCTGACACTGTCCCAGCTGCCACCTAGACTCGGAGCTCCATCCAGCTCTCCAGCGAAGACATCCCAGGTTGGGTGAATATTCCAGCCCCGGGCGGGTGGAGGCAGTAAAGGGTGCTCATGGTGTTGGCTTGGAGGAATCAAGGGACATTTCTGCTTTTTCTCCTCCTGGGATTCAGGGTGCTAGAAAAAGCTGCGGGAAGGGGCGACTGGAGCAAGCAGATGGGACAAACTCTGGGAGCACCCAAGAATCTAGGGAAAGGAGGCTGTGAGGAGGGGCAGCAGGGATGAATAAAGAAGGGCAGTTAGAGTTGGAACCTAACTGGGAATTGTGGGCCCAAGAGGATTTGGGAGCAGGAAAACAAGAACCAGAAAGGATTTGAAGGCTACCAGCCATGGAGAACAGACTGTTCAACCAGAAGGGTGGAAGGAGAAGGCAGGAGTGCAGCTGTGGGAGAGGTGGGGGCTTGGGGAGTGGCGGAATCCGAGGAGTTATAGATGAGAGGCCCCTGGATTCTTAGGATGAGAGGGTGGAATGAGAGCTGTTCTCAGTGGGGGAGGGGGCTGTGCCTGCCTCTTTGGTCTGTGACCTTTTTGTAGGGTATTTTTAGTTCCAGCACCTGCCTTCTTGGAGTGGGGAAGACTCTTAAAGGGCAAGGGATTTCTGATTCCTTAAGAGATCAACTGTCTACACTCACTCACACCTCCTGCCCTGCAACCATGGCCATGCAGAAAATCTTTGCTCGGGAAATCCTGGACTCCAGGGGCAACCCCACAGTGGAGGTGGACCTGCACACAGCCAAGGGTAACACCAGACCCATTGAATAAGCTTGCCTCAGAACACCCCAACCCTTTGGTCTTTGACCCTCATTTCTGTGCCGTATCCTCTGCTTTCTCTGGGGTTCCCTTTCTCAGATTTCTTCCCAAGCTTTTTTCTTGCAACCCGGCACCAGAGCTAGAAGCTGGGAGATGCAGGAGTCTCTCTCTGCACTGCCTCTTGTCCCTGAGCTCAGAGAGGATACCTCAGCCCTTTGAGGGGTAGATGGGACTCCCTGTGATCTCCCTTTTTTTGTGAGATGGAGTCTTGCTCTGTCGCCCAGGCTGGAGTCAGTGGTGCTTTCTTGGCTCACTGCAACCTCTGCCTCCCAGGTTCAAGTGATTCTCATGCCTCAGCCTCCTGAGTATGTGGGATTACAGGCCTGTGCTATCATACCCCGCTAATTTTTGTATTTTTAGTGAAACAGGACTTCATCATGTTGGCCAGGCTGGTCTTGAACTCCTGACCTCAAGTGATCCACCTGCCTAGGCCTCTCAAAATGCTGGGATTACAGGTGTGAGCCACTGCGCCCAGCCATCCCTGTGATCTTGCAATTCCTCCTGCTCCAGGCCGATTCCGAGCAGCTGTGCCCAGTGGGGCTTCCACGGGTATCTATGAAGCTCTGGAACTAAGAGATGGAGACAAAGCCCGCTATCTGGGGAAAGGTAAGGAGAAACCAGTGCAGAAGGAGCCTTTAGGACATGGGTGTACAATGGGCAGAGGACTGGAAACTCCAAAGCTCCTGAGGAGCTGGGGTCCACAGAAAGAAGCCCAATTGGTTGAGATCCAAACCTCGTCCTCTGGCCTCTCTAGGAGTCCTGAAGGCTGTGGAACACATCAACAAGACTCTAGGCCCTGCTTTGCTGGAAAAGGCAAGTGGAGAGTCCTGCTCCCTGCAGCCTCCTCCCAGACCCCTGCTTCCTCAGCCCTCAAGCGCCTCTTCTCCCAAATATTTTCACTTATCCTGACTTCTGTGAAATCTGACCTCTGCTCTCCCCTCTCACACCTACCCTTCCAGAAACTAAGTGTTGTGGATCAAGAAAAAGTTGACAAATTTATGATTGAGCTGGATGGGACCGAGAATAAGTGTGAGTGAAGGGCTAGTGGTGGGGACAGCGAGGAAGGGATGAGGTGTGGGAGAGGTGGCGAGAGGCCACAGGGGTGAGGCCTGATGGGTTATTTCTGGGTTCCCCGTTTTGGGTCACACCACAGCTGGATGGATTTGTCTTCATTCCACAGGCATTTCCTATGGCTGCCCTCTGCCAGGCCTGGGCCGGGCTGTAGACACAGACATGCAGCTGACATTCCCTGGGGGTGGGGGCTCCCAGAGCTGCTCAGGCAGTGGGAGAGAGATCTGTTAACCAATTCTTCATTCTCAGTGGTTTGGAACTCTGGCTTCTTCCTGGAGTGGCCACCCCAAACCCTCCAGAAATTCTCACCCTTTCTTCCCACTTGCCTCCTTCCAGCCAAGTTTGGGGCCAATGCCATCCTGGGCGTGTCCTTGGCCGTGTGTAAGGCGGGAGCAGCTGAGAAGGGGGTCCCCCTTTACCGCCACATTGCAGATCTTGCTGGGAACCCTGACCTCATACTCCCAGTGCCAGTGAGTGCAGCTGCCCACCCCCACCCCCTGCCAGATCTCTCCTTGCTAGATCCGCCCCCCCGCCCAGCCAGGGATGCCCCCCTGGAAAATTCACCTTTCAGACAGCTCCTAAGAAGCATTTCCTGAAACAATCTCTTCTGCTGTGGTCCAGCCCCTCCCTCTTTTCCACAATCCAAACCTTCCCTGAAACCTCTCTGCGCTTCCTTCCCTGCCATATAACCCCATTCCTTCGCCTTCCAATCCTAGGCTCCATAACTCCTGCCTCTTTCCAACCCCACCCCCCACCCCCCAAATCATATCGAGAGTTTCTTTGTGCCAAGGATCTTGGCATTTCTTTGTATCTTCTTGAATCCCCCCCCCTTTTTTTTTGAGACAGTCTCACTCTATCCCCCAGGCTGGAGTGCAGTGGTGCAGTCTCAGCTCACCGCAACCTCTGCCTTACGGGTTCAAGCAGTTCTCCTGCCTCAGCCTCCCAGGTAGCTGGGACTACAGGCATACGCCACCATGCCCAGCTAATTTTTGTGTTTTCAGTATAGATGGGGTTTCACCATGTTGGCCAGGATGGTCTTGATCTCTTGACCTTGTGATCCTCCGCCTCAGCCTCCCAAAGTGCTGGGATGACAGGTGTGCGCCACCACACCCAGTCCTTGAGTTCCTTCTAAAACCAGTGCCCTCTTACTGAAGGGAAACTTTTTGAATTTAATCTCACTAATAATGTTACCATTTCTTGTTAGTTACTAGGAAGATTGCCTGAGAGCATGGACTCTAGAGATAGATTGCTGAGTTTGAATCCTGCCTCTGCCTGTTATTAGTTGTATGGTTTTAGGCAAGTTCTTTAAGTGCTCTATGTGTCCCTTTCTCCATCTGTAAAATGGGGGTTAATAATGATACCAATGAATATAGGTGTTTTGAGAATGAAATGAGCTAAAATGTCAAGTACTTATTGCCTGGCATGTAGTAAATGCTATAAAAATGTTAGCTATTATATACCAGGCACATGCTAAGAACTTTACATTCAGTTTCTCTAATTTTCAGCAAAAGATCCTACGGGGAAGTTGGTGCTATCCCCATTTTATAGAAATGAGGAAAGAGAGGCCGGGTGCGGTGGCTCACACCTGTAATCCCAGCACTTTGGAAGACTTGGCAGGTGGATCACGGTCAGGAGTTTTGAGACCATCCTGGCCAACACAGTGAAATCCTGTCTCTACTAAAAATATAAAAATTAGCTGGGCATGGTGGTGCACACCTGTAGTCACAGCTACTCAGGAGGCGGAGGCGGGAGAATCTCTCAAACCCAGGAGGCAGAGCTTGTGGTGAGCGGAGATAGTGCCACTGAACTCCAGCCTGGGCAACAGAGCAAGACTCTGTCTCAAGAAAAAAAAAGAAAAGAAAAGAAAAAGAAAAAAATGAAATGAGGAAAGAGGCTCATGAGCAAAATTACTCATCCTAGACCACTGAGCCAATAAGTAGTGAAGCCAGGTTTCCACCCCAACACCCCTGCCCCTATCCCTTCTTGAGCCCTTATGCCCCAGCTCAGGTCCAGGCACCCTCTCCCCATCTCAGGCTTTCAACGTGATCAACGGGGGCTCCCATGCTGGAAACAAGCTGGCCATGCAGGAGTTCATGATTCTGCCTGTGGGAGCCAGCTCCTTCAAGGAAGCCATGCGCATTGGTGCTGAGGTCTACCACCACCTCAAGGGGGTCATCAAGGCCAAGTATGGGAAGGATGCCACCAATGTGGGTGATGAAGGTGGCTTCGCACCCAACATCCTGGAGAACAATGAGGGTCAGTGTTGAGCACCCCGGGGGGCAGACCCCCCGGATCTCCACACGGGCAGGGGAGGCTGCAGACAAGGGGGCACTGGAGTCTCAGGTCCTGTCTTGCTCCTCTCCCAGCCCTAGAGCTGCTGAAGACAGCCATCCAGGCAGCTGGTTATCCAGACAAGGTGGTGATCGGCATGGATGTGGCAGCGTCTGAGTTCTATCGCAATGGGAAGTACGATCTTGACTTCAAGTCACCTGATGATCCCGCACGGCACATCACTGGGGAGAAACTTGGAGAGCTGTATAAGAGCTTCATCAAGAACTACCCTGGTGAGGCTCTCAGGTGCCCTAGTGTCCCTGCCCGAGTCCCATGCAGCTCTCTACCATACTGATGTCAGTGACCTGCTTTACCATCCACTTGGATCCTTCCCATTTTTAGCCCCACTGACATCCCCATTTAAGCTCTTCTGCCGTGTCACCCCTGCGTGAGGCCCCTTCTGACCTCTAGCCCTGTATCTGCTACCAACCCCCACCAGTGGTCTCCATCGAGGACCCCTTTGACCAGGATGACTGGGCCACTTGGACCTCGTTCCTCTCGGGAGTGAACATCCAGATTGTGGGGGATGACCTGACAGTCACCAACCCCAAGAGGATTGCCCAGGCCGTTGAGAAGAAGGCCTGCAACTGTCTGCTGCTGAAGGTCAACCAGATTGGCTCGGTGACTGAATCGATCCAGGCGTGAGTGCCTCCTGACCCTGAGGCTCACCGTAGCCTCCCTCTGCCCCAGCTCTGTTCAGTTCAGCTACAGTCTCACTCACTAATTCCAAGTTTACCCTTCTTCTGGCACCTGACCTACCCACACCTTGACATCAAGGCTTTGACTAATCCTTGGCCTGACTCCAAGTGCTTTGCCACTGTAGCCCTGACATGATCCTCACCCCCACCCCACACTATTCCTCTCTGATTCTGCTGTTCTTCTCAGCAGCATCTCAAGAGCCCAAAATCAAGATGAGAAGTCTTTTCCTCTCCTGTTTCTCAACGAACTTAGTCACTGCCCTCCCTGCAGAGTGCCTGCTACTCAAAACAGAAGGGAGAGGCCCCACCCAACCCCTGCTCTCCCACTGAGGAGGTTCCAGAAGTCCTCATCAAATGTCCTCCCCATCCAGGTGCAAACTTGCTCAGTCTAACGGCTGGGGAGTGATGGTGAGCCACCGCTCTGGGGAGACTGAGGACACATTCATTGCTGACCTTGTGGTGGGACTCTGCACAGGACAGGTACTTGTAGCTTCTCTCTATTGAGTGTCTGACCAAGTTTTCTTGGGGTCCCTGGCCTCCTCCCACTAAGGTGAATGCTCCCTTGGGGCCGGGTCCAACTCCCTCCTCTCTAACCTCACCCAACCCTCCAAATCCTTCTTCCCTCATCAGATCAAGACTGGCGCCCCCTGTCGCTCGGAGCGTCTGGCCAAATACAACCAACTCATGAGGTACAGTGGGAGCATTGGGCCTGGGCATTGGGGTGCTGAAGGCTGTTGGGTTGGAAGGCAGCAGCCCTGACTTTGCCTGCATTCTAGGATTGAGGAGGCTCTTGGGGACAAGGCTATATTTGCTGGACGAAAGTTCCGCAACCCGAAGGCCAAGTGAGAACCAGGATTCCACTGGACAGCCCCAGGTCTTCCAGACCTGCTTCCTGAAATAAACACTGGTGCCAACCAAGACAGCTGTGTGCTTCTTTGTGGGAGGGAGGAGAGGGATACTGGTTTCTGGGCTGAGCTAGGAAAGACAGGAGGTGGAGAGAGAGGGGCAGGGAGGGAAGGCAAATAGATGTGTAACCTGCTAAGACAAAAAGGAGATGAGGGACTCAGAGAGGAGCCTGGTGGATCTAGAACAACAGAGGCATTTACATTTCTGAAGGAGGTAGCTATATGTTAAATGAAACTGCAGAGCTGCCAGTGGAGCCGGCATGGTGGCGCACACCTGGAGTCCCAGCCACTAGGGAGGTTGAGGTGAGAGCTTGAGCCCAGAAGGTCAAGGCTGCAGTGCGCCATGTTCACACCACTGCACTCCAGCTTGGGCTGCAGAGCAAGACCTTGTCTCAAAGGAACAAAAAAATGAAAACAAACAAAAAACTAAAGAGTTGCAGATGGAATAAGAAACCAGCCCTAGGCTGGGTGCGGTGGCTCACGCCTGTAATCCCAGCACTTTGGAAGGCTGAGGCAGGTGAATCACGAGGTCAGGAGTTGAAAACCAGCCTCACCAACATGGTAAAACCCTGTCTCTACTAAAAATACAAAAATTAGCTGGGCGTGGTGGCGGATGCCTGTAATCCTAGCTACTCAGGAGGCTGAGGCAGAATCATTTGAACCCAGGAAGCAGAGGTTGCAGTGAGCTGAGATTGTGCCACTGCACTCCAGCCTGGGTGACACGGCAAGACTGCGGTTTTTTTTTTTTTTTTCCCAAAAAAAAAAAAAGAAACCCCCCAACACACGAAGCCAGCTCCAGGAGAGGGAAGCAGTGTGGGGAGTGAGGGTCCCACTATCACCACGAGGGAGATGCTGGCTGTGGAATTGAAATGGTCTGCAGAGGACGCTGGAGTGAGGCTGCAGTCCTAACGAGGGCTTTGTGAGGATGAGATTGATAATGACAGCAGCTGTAAGCTCCTATGGAGCTTACAGGATCTGAAACTGTTCTAAATAGTTGACTTATATTGCCCTGTGCAATCATTCAGACAGTCTGTCAGATAGCTGCCATAATTATCCTTATTTTATGGGGGAGGAAACTGAGGCATAAAAGGTTAAATGCCTTACCCAGCAGGTGGCAGGACTAGGATCCAAAGCCAAGGTATTTGACTTTAACGATTATAATCTTGTATATTTATTTTGAGCCAGCTTCTTCATATGTCACCAGGGTGGGAGTACAGCGATGTGATCATAGCTCACTGTAGCCTCAAACTCCTGGGCTCAAGCAATCCTCTTGCCTCACCCTGCAAACTAGCTGGGACTACAGGTGCATACCACCACACATGGCTAATCTTTAAATTTTGTATATTTTATTTTCTTTTTTTGTAGAGAAGGTTTGTGGCCTAGGCTGGTCTCAAAACTCCCAGGCTCAAGCGATCCTCCTGCTTTGGCCTCTCAAAGTGCTAGGACTGCAGGTATGAGCCACTGCACTGTCAATTTTATAATTTTGTAAAGACAGAGTCTCGCTATATTGCCCAGGCTGATCTTGACCTCGTGGCCTCAAGTGATCCTTCAGCCTTGGCCTCCTAAAATGCTGGGATTACAGGTGTGAGCCACTGTACCCAGCCCAACTACACTTTTAAAATACTGCTTATAAAACCCTCTAGGCCAGGAGCAGAGGCTCATGCCTATAATCCCAGCACTTTGGGAGGCTGAGGCAGGCAGATCACCTGAGGTCGGGAGTTAAGAGACCAGCCTGGCTAAGATGGTGAAACCCTGCCTCTACTAAAAATCAAAAAAATTAGCTGGATGTGGTGATGCACTCCTGTAATCACAGATACTCAGGAGGCTGAGCCAGGAGAATCACTTGAACCCTGGAGGCAGAGGTTGCAGTGAGCCAAGATCACACCACTGTACTCCAGCCTGGGCAACGGAACAAGACTCTGTCTCAAAACAAACAAACAGAAAAACCTATGATAATGCCAACTGGCCATCTTTAACCTATACAAAGAGCAATTTTATGCTGCTCAACTGAAAATTATTTCCCTTCTTCCCTACCAGTGGCTCCAGGACCCACCTTTCTGTGTTAAAACAAACCAGGACATTGAGTTAAAGAGTATTTATTGAATGTAAAGTAACCCCAGCCCCATGGGGAAGAAAATTCCAAGAATGGGGAATAATACAGATTAAATACCCACTTGTGCATTCACACTCACACACGCACACACACCCCACACACATCCAAGCTCCAACAGTGACAAATAAAACACCTGTTTTCTCCCAGCCTGAGGGACAGCTGGTAGGAGGCGGTTCAGAGGTGGGGCTACAGGATGGGTTCTAATAGCAGCAGCCTTGTCCCTCCCTGTCCCCTGCCCTGCCCCAGGGGTCAAAGGGAGCTGGGCGGGGTGCTTAGGACGTTGGTGGCAACTCTTCCCCACTCTGCCGCAGACGCTTCTTTGCTCTGATCTCATTCATGGCCTCTTCAATGGAGCGGGTGTCCCTCTTGTTGGCCACAGGCACTAGGGGCAGAGAGGAGGGTAATGAGGGCCTAGAAACCCGTGCCTCAGCCTCCACTCCCTCCTCTCACATCCTAGGCTCCCCTCCCAGCCACCCCAGCTGCACTCTGGCCTCACCACAGCCGTAGGTCTTATTAGCCTGTAGCATGTGGGCTGCATCTTTGGCTGCTCCCTTGCCAATGAGGTGGCTATACTTGTCCTTGTAGTCACTGGCAGGGCTCACCACCACAGGTCCCTGCTGGGCTGCCTCCTCCTCCTGCCTCTGGGCCAGCTCCTGCGGGTGGGAGGGGAGGGCACTGGTGCTCAGAGGCCCAACCCAAAACCCCACCCCTCTCAGGAATGAAGTAACTCACCTTCAGCTTCCGCTTCTCCTCGGCCTTGTGGGGGTCCCATTCCTCCCCACGACGGTAGGAGTCTAGCTCTTCATCTGAGGGTGCAAACTCCTGGAGAAGAGCAGAATGATGGGGTCAAAGTCCATACAAAGGTTTCATCTCATTCCTTGGTCAGGGAGGGGGATAAGGCTATTAAGGGGAGAGGACAGAGTGAGGAACTCAGGCTTTTTACCTTTTTGAAGATCATGACATAGCGACAGTCATCATCTTCCCCAAAGGAGAAGGATGTCAGGCCAGCCACTTCCACCACATCATGTCTGGGATGGGACAACAGAGGGGAAAGAGTATCTTGAGCCAGGAGCGGGCCTAGTGCCCTCCTCTCGAGGAGCCTGCTGCTGGCCCTTTCAGGCCCCCCAGCCACTCATTTCCATCCCCACCCCAGCCCAGAGATACTCACAGTATGCTCCTCTCTATCTTGTTCATTGGCTGAAACTTTTTCTTGACCTGCCCACTGTCTTGAATGAAATCTGATACCTCCTTCTCCATCTTGGGACAGGGGAAAGGAAGAAGATATGAGACAATGGCTCCACCCAAGTACCCCTATCCCCAGCTGAGCCAACAATGCTTCTATACCTCCCCATCATCCTCCCCAGCCTCCATGCCACTGGCTTCCAGGCGTCACCTCCCTCAAGACATTTTCAGCGAAACTGAGCCCTCAACCTTCCCATTTTAACTTATTGAAAGTCCTTCCTGACTCTGCCATTTATCACTCCAGTTGATCTCACCCTTTTACGAAACTCCACTTTCTGTTGTTTGTCTTGCTCTTGTAGTTTCTTCAGGCGGGCAGCCTGTTCTGGGGGTGAGAAATGGCAGCATGAGGCCAGGGCTGGAAGCACGGGGGGAAGGTTTTTAAGGCTTCAAGTGAAGTGTGGTGTCCATTGGGAGGTATCAGGCTGGGAAGACAGGGTTAGCGTTTATACATCAAGCATTTATTGACGTTTATTCTATATAGTTGTCCCCCTTATCCACAGGGGTTCATTCCAAGACCCTCAGTGGATGCCTGGAATTGTGGACATTACTGACCCCTATATATACTATGTCTTTTCCTATACATATATGCCTATGATAAAGTTTAATTTATAAATTAGGCACAATAATCAATTAAGAATAACAGACCAGGTACAGTGGCTCATGCCTGTAATCCCAGCACTTTGGGAGGCTGAGGTGGGTGGATCACAAGGTCAGGAGTTCAAGACCAGCCTGGCCAATATGGTGAAACCCCATCTCTACTAAAAATACAAAACAATTACCCAGGCATGGTGGTGGGCACCTGTAATCCCAGCTACTCAGGAAGTTGAGGCAGAGAATAGCTTGAACCTGGGAAGCAGAGGTTGCAGTGAGCTGAGATCACGCCACTGCACTCCAGCTTGGGCAACAGAGGGAGACTTCATCAAAAAAAAAAAAAAAAGGAAAGAGAAAGATTAAAAATAACAATAATAAAGTAGAACAATTATAACAATGGACTGAATAAAAGTTTGTAACTATGCTCTCTCTCTCTCTCTCAAAATACCTTATTGTATATAATAGTTCCAGACTGCAGGTAACTGAAATGTTGGAAAGCAAAACCTTGGATAAGGGAGAAGTGGGGCTATTTTATCTGACACTGAGCAAGACCCTGAAGTACAGAGATGATTAAGACATGAGGTGGCCCTTCAAGAGCTCCCAGTTTGGTGGGAGTGACAAAGATCAGAATAATGCTTAACCCTCTTTTCCAACTCCACTGACGAAACTGATTCACAAATATAAATACATACATACATATTTTATTTATTTATTTATAGATAAATCTGGCTCTGTCACCCAGGCTGGAGTGCAGTGGCATGATCTCAGCTTACTGCAACCTCCGTCTCCTGGGTTCAAGAGATTCTCCTGCCTCAGCCTCCCTAGTAGCTGGGATTATAGACAAGCACCACCACACCCGGATAACTTTTGTATTTTAACAGAGATAGGGTTTCACCATGTTGGCCAGGCTGGTCTCAAATGCCTGAGTTCTAGTGATCCATCCGCCTCAGCTTCCCAAAGTGCTGGGATTACAGGTGTGAGTCACTGCACTCAGCCTATTTATTTATTTTGGGGACAGGATCTCACTTTATTGTCTAGGCTGGAGTGCAGTGGCACGATCATGGCTCACTGCAGTTGTGATCCACCTGGCTCAAGGGATCCTCCTACCTCAGCTTCTCAAGCAGCTGGGACCACAGGCATGTGCCACCATGCTCAGCTACTTTAAAAAAAATAATTTAAAAAATATATTTGTGAGATGAGGTCCCACTACGTTGCCCAGGCTGGTCTTGGAACTCAGCCTCAAGTAAACCTCCTACCTTGGCCTCTCAAACTGACAGGCTTGAGGAGCCTCTGCACTCAGCCTTGGATAATTTTTTTTTTTTTTTTTTTTTTTTTGTGAGGCGGAGTTTCGCTCGTTTCCCAGGCTGGAGTGCAATGGCGCAATCTCGGCTCACCGCAACCTCCGCCTCCTGGGTTCAGGCAATTCTCCTGCCTCAGCCTCCTGAGTAGCTGGGATTACAGGCACGCGCCACCATGCCCAGCTAATTTTTTGTATCTTTAGTAGAGACGGGGTTTCACCATGTTGACCTGGATGGTCTCCATCTCTTGACCTCGTGATCCACCTGCCTCGGCCTCCCAAAGTGCTGGGATTACAGGCTTGGGCCACCGCGCCCGGCCAATTTTTTTTTTAAGTTTTCTGTTAAGACGGGGTCTCAAGGCCAGGTGTGGTGGCTCACACCTGTAATCCCAGCACTTTGGGAGGCCAAGTAGGGCAGACATGAGGTCAGGAAATCAAGACCAGCCTAGCCAACATGGTGAAACCCCATCTCTACTAAAAATGCAAAAAAAGTTAGCCGGTCGTAGTGGAGCATGCCTGTAGTCCCAGCTACTCGTGAGGCTGAGGCAGGAGAATAGCTTGAACCCAGGAGGTGGAGGTTGCAGTGAACCAAGATTGTGCACTGCACTCCAGCGGGGCGACAGAGCGAGACTCCGTCTCAAGAAAAAAAAGATGGGGTCTCAGTTTGTTGCCCAGCCTGGTCTCCAACTGGCCTCAAGCAATCCTCCCACCTTGGCCTTCCAAACTGCTGGGGTTATAGGTGTGAGCCACCATGCCCAGCCTAGAGTTAGTTCTTTGTACATTGCTGGCATTAAATAAATGTAAATATTTGGGCTGAGCATGTGCAATCCCAGCACTTTGGAAGGCTGAGGTGGGAGAACTGCTTGAGATCAGGAGTTTGAGACCAGTGTGGGCAATATAGTGAGACGCTGTCTCTACAAAAAATAATGAATTAGGCATAGTGATGCATGCCTGTAGTCCCAGCTACTCAGGAGATTGAGGTAGGAAGATCACTTGAGCCTGAGAGGTTTAGGTGACAGAGCAAGAACCTGTCTTTAAAAAAAGAAAGAAAGAAAAAAGAACTATAATGCATCCAGGAAAGTGAGGAGAACAGACTAAGACCCTGGCCTCAAAGAATCTATTATCTCATTGCCTACATAGGAAAAGGGCAAAAAAAAAAATTTTTTTTTTAAGACAAAGTCTCGCTCTGTCACCAGGCACCAGGCTGGAGTGCAGTGGTACAATCTTGGCCCACTGCAACCTCTGCCTCCTGGGTTTAAGCAATTCTCCTGCCTCAACCTCCCAAGTAGCTGGGACTACAGGCATGCACCACCACGCCTAGCTAATTTTCGTATTTTTTAGTAGAGATGGGGTTTCACCATGTTGGCCAGGATGGTATTGATCTGTTGACCTCGTGATCCATCCGCCTCGGCCTCCCAAAGTGCTGGGATTATAGGCGTGAACCACCATACCTGGCCAAAAAAAAAAATTTTTTTTTTTTTTTAGATGGAACCACTCTGTCGCTTAGGCTGGAGTGCAGTGGCATGATCACGGCTCACTGCAACCTCTGCCTCCTGGGTTCAAGCGATTTTCCTGCCTCAGCCTCCTGAGTAGCTGGGATTACAGGCGCCTACCACCATGCCCAGCTAATTTTTGTATTTTCAGTAGAGACAGGGTTTCAGTATATTGGCCAGGCTGGTCTCAAACTCCTGACCTTGTGATCCTCCGCCCTTAGCCTCCCAAAGTGCTGGGATTACAGGTGTGAGCCACCATGCCCGGCCAGAAAGGGGAAATTATTTAACTTCCTATATTTTGTGAAATCTCCCACTTCCCACTTCTACAGACAGGATGAAGCAGAAATGGATAATCCGATGCCCTTCTCCTTTGGGAGTGTAGGTGTCCAAGGTTAGCTGTGAAGTGTCTTTTTTTTCCCTGACCTCCTGGGCTCTAGAGATCTGCCTGCCTCTTGCCTGAAGATGCCTGAGACTCCAACTTTAAACTTTTTAAAAAAAATTAGGCCGGGTACAGTGGCTCATGCCTGTAATCCCAGCACTTTGGGAGGCCGAGGCGGGCAGATCACAAAGTCAGGAGTTCAAGACCAGCCTGGGCAATATGGTGAAACTCCATCTCTACTAAAAATGCAAAAATTAGCTGGGTGTGGTGGCATGCGCCTGTAGTCCCAGCTATTCAGGAGGCTGAGGCAGGAGAATCGCTTGAACCCAGGAGGTGGAAGCTGCAGTGTGCTGCAATCACGCCACTGCATTCCACCCTGGCAACAGAGCAAGACTACATCTCAAAAAAAAAAATTAGCCAGGGCTGGGTGCAGAGGCTCAACCCTCTCAAGCAATTTAAGAGGCCGAGGTGGGAGGATAACTTGAGGCCAGGTGTTCAAGACCAGCCTCTCAAAGTACTGGGATTACAGCTATGAGTCCCCTCACCAGGCTAGGGGTCTTATTTAACTTTCTTCCTCTTCCTTAGATCTTGCCTCTGCACCAGATTTCCTCTGCCTCAAGAGGAGGAGGATGAATTTCTAACCCAGGCTCCCTACTCTTGCCTGTCTTCCCCACAATGTGATTTTACTGCCTCTCGAGATTTGGGTGCGTGCTTCTTCCTATTCCTGCTCTTCAGCCTGAGATGTTTGTCTCTTTTGCCATTTCAAATCCTTTACATCCTTAAGGCCTACTTCTTCCACAGATCCGAATCCCCTCCAGCTGCACTGAACCTCTCCCCATCATTTATTGATTGATTGACTGATTGACAGAGTCTCGCTCTGTGCCCAGGCAGGAGTGCAGTGGCACGATCTCGGCTCACTGCAACCTCTGCCTCCCAGTTTCCAGCAATTCTCCTGCCTCAGCCTCCCAAGTACCTGGGATTACAGGTGTGAACCACCGCGCCTAATTTTTTTTTTTTTTTTTGTATTTTTTGTAGAGATGCGGTTTCACCATGTTGGTTAGGCTGGTCTTGAACTCCTGATCTCAAGTGATCTACCCACCTCAGCCCCCCAAAGTGCTGGGATCATAGGCATGAGCCACCACACCCAGCCCTCTCCCCATTTTAAAATAACTCCATGCCTTTACACATGTTGTTCCTCTGCTTGGTATGCTTTTCTTCCTCTTGCAAACGTTGAGATCACCATGAGTCAGAGTTACTTCTTCCAGAGTTACTTCTTCCCCTCGGCTCCAAGCTCCTTTGCTTTGGCTCGGACACCCAGCATAGCATAGAGAACTAACATATCATAACTTTTTGTTTGTCTCCTCTAGCATAGTATGAGTTCCTGGAAGGCAGGAACCCTGTTCATCTACTATTCAGTTATCCTCTGGAGCCCCAGGGCCTGATAGCCTAGGAGCTCTCATCCCTCTGTCCTCACTGACCATCAGCCATCTCGTTTTTTGTTGTCGGAAACAAAGTCTCAACTCCATCGCCCACACTGGAGTACAATGGTGCAATCACCTCTCACTGTAGGCTAAAGCGATTCTCCCCACCTCAGCCTGCCGAGAATTGGGACCACAGGAGCACGCCATCACACCTGGCCAAATTTTTTTTTTTTTTTTTTGAGATGGTGTCTCACTCTGTGGCCAGGCTGGAGTGCAGTGGGGTGATCTCAGCTTACGGCAACCTCCACCTCCTGGGTTCAAGCGATTCTCCTGCCTCAGCTTCCCGAGTAGCCGGGATTACAGGCATGCATAACCACGCCCAGCTAATTTTTGTATTTTTAATAGAGACGGGGTTGGCCAGAATGGTCTTGATCTCTTGACCTTGTGATGCGCCTGCCTCGGCCTCCCAAAGTGCTGGAATTACAGGCGTGAGCCACCACGCCTGGCCAATTTTTGTATTTTTTTGTACAGACAGGGTTTCTCCATGTTGCCCAGGCTGGTCTTGAACTCCTGGGTTCAAGCAATCCATCCACCTCGGCCTCTCAAAGTGCTGGGATTACAGATGTGAGCTACCAGTTTATACTCGGGTTTTACTTGGTTTCGATTCTTCTCTACATATAGAGAAGTGGCATAAGATTATGGCTAAGAACACAGGCTTCAGGCCAGGCGCGGTGGCTCACCCCTGTAATCCCAACACTTTAGGAGGCCAAGGTGGGCAGATCACCTGAGGTCAGGAATTCAAGACCAGCCGGGCCAACCTGGCAAAATCCCATCTCTACTAAAAATACAAAACTTAGCAGGGCCTGGTGGCACACGCCTGTAATCCCCAGCTACTTGGGAGGCTGAGGCACAAGAATTGCTTGAACCCAGGAGGTGGAGGTTGCAGTAAGCTGGGCAACAAGGGCTAAACTGTGTTTCAAGAAACAAACAAATAAAAACAGGCTTCAAACCCAGTCACACCTGGGTTTGAAACTCTGCCACCAACCAAACTAACCATGTGACCTCAGGCGAGTAACTACCTTAAAGCTTCCTAGTCTGTCAACGACGCTGGTGATCCCCCACTTAGACAGTCATCGGAGCATTAAAGAATTCCAGTTCCCCATTCCCATCACGCTTCCTCCTTCCTCAGAGATTTCAAATAGACTTCTCTTCTGCCTGAAACGCTTTGCTTCTCTCTCTCATTTACGGAATCATCTGTTCTGATCTCGGCTCACTCCTGACTGGGGGAGAACCTCAGGTGGCCGCTCTCACAACTATTTTTCTATCAGAGCACTATCAAGTTGGTTATTAAACTTCCGTGAGATCACTGTATCAATGAGCGTCCCAGCCCGGGATTTTGGCCTGAAGGGTATTGCTGGCCCCTAACAGTGGTTCAGGAAATAAGGGGACGAAGTGTAGGCATTCAACAGCCTTTAAACATCTGAAGGCGTCCTGCCTGCCCTGGCCCCCCTGGGGCATGGTGAAGAGCCGGGATAGGGCTCGTTCGCGCTCAAGCCTTGCAGGATTGGAAGCTGGAGTCCAGCGTTCCGCCAGGGTCATCTCACGCCACAGCACAAGCAACCCCGGGGAGGTTCCCACCGCCCCACCGGGCCGCGCCCTCCGCCGGCCGCCAAACTCCAACCCACACGCAAGGAAGCTACTCAGAGAACGCAGGCGGAGACAGTGGCCAATCGGACCCGGCGGGCTTTCTCATCCCTCCTCCAATCAACACCATGATCCGCCCGGACAGCTCGGGAATTTAAGGCTGCAGATGAGAAAAAGGTTGTCGGAAGAAGGCAGAAGGGACGGGGTTAAATGAAGCAGGAGGGGCAAGAAGACACGGAAGACCCAGCAACCAATGGGAGTGCTGAGGCTGGGGTGGGTCCGAAGGAAGGTCGAACAGGCCTCAGGAGGCAGAGCTTTAAGTTGAGATAGCCAATAGAGATGAAGGCATAATGGTGGGCGTGCCCCAAATCCAATCGAAATAGAGCTAGAGATGGGCGGGGAAGGAGTGCGGCAAGTTGGCGGCATCTTACCAATCAGAGCAGCCAGCCAGCCGACAGGCGGGCCGACCGGCTAATGGGAAACAAGGACTACGGAAGGCCAGGGTCGGGAGAAGAGGCAGGAGGCTAGCGCTATCTTTCAGGTAGCCAATCACTGTCCGCTAAGAACAGCGGGCGTGTCAGCAGCCCTTTTTAGGGACTCTGAGGGTCTCGGAAGAGGCCTGTGAGGGGGTCTTTCAAGGTTGAGGAGGCGGCATTGTCTAGAGGGAAAAGTGCGGTCGCGAGAACCGGGCGAAGGAAGGCAGTTGTGAATTTGGGATCCTCACCTCGGGCCTTGCGCCGAGTCTCCTGGTCACCGAGGCTGGGTGGCTTTTCCATGGAGCTCAGGATGGAGCCCAGTAGGTCCGCCATCTTGGGAGTGACTGAGAGGGGGGCGGTGCGTCTTAAAGGGAAGGGCGGAATACCTTTAAGGCCGGAAACACGTCGGAGGCGGAAAACTGCGTCCGCCCTGCCTGGGCGCAGATCCGAGACCCGGGGCGCGTGGCTGCTTCCAGCCGACCGAGTCCCCCGCCCCGCCCCGCCCCGCCCCCGCAGACAGAGGCCGGAGGCTTGCTGGTGCAGCGATGTTTAATGGCAATTCGTATAAACCAAGCCCATGCACAAGTAGAAAGTGCCCGTGGAGCCGGCAGGTAGCCCCCGCCGCGCCAGAGAACCACAGCTCGGCCGTGCAGCCCTCCCTGCGGCGCCTTAAATAGATTCTTCACTATACTCTGTATCTTACAGTATGTACAAGCCCCCTCCCCTCGGGGGACGGGGCGGACTCCGCAACGCGTTCCTGCGTACACCCCCTCCCTTTCGGCCCTGAGGTCGGTGGCCAGAGTCGGGTGATGGGGTAAGACAGGGCTAGAGAGGGAGGAAACAGACGCAAACATGCGGAGTCGGGTGGTGGGCACGGTCAGCCCTGAAATACGAGGGGCGTGCGCAGCGAAGGCTGAGGTGGGGACCTAGGCGGATACATTCAGAGACGCGTCGAACAAATAAATAAGGCAAGTCAGTAGGGGGCCGAGTCGGGTGCAGGCAGGAGGAGCTGGGGACCAGGGGCAGGCAGGGCTCCGGAGGTCACAGCGGAAGATGCAGGTATGTGGGGCACGGGTCTTCTGGAGCCAGGACCAAAAGAGACGGGGCACAACCAAGAGGGAAGAGGATATGGGTTTGGGAGCAAGGCGTGGGGAGGAGGGAGGAGGCCTACGAAGGGCTCCAGCAAAGGTGAACGGGAAAGCTGCCGACAGGGGATCCCCCTGCCCCAGAAAGCCCTCTCCCTGCTAAGACTGCACGAGGCACCCCCAGGGTGGTGAGAAAGGCGGTGGCCAGGTCAGGTGGCCAGTCCCGGCTGGGGAAGCCCTTCTAGCTCCTGGTTCTGCTTCAGTTCCCTCATCCTGCAGAGAGAATGATAAGAGTCAGGGGAGACTGGTGGATCCCGACTGGTGGCAGCGCAAAAGCCTAGGGGAAGTAGGGATGAGTACCTGTGTCGGCAGCGCCGCAGGAATCTCATGATCTTCCGAGCTGCCTGGTCCTGCTTCTTGGTGAGAAAGGAGCCTCTGGTGAAAGAAACAAAAGATGGACCTCACAGAACCCCCATGCCTTCAGCCTCCCCAGGAACCCTAGGCAGGGAATGGCTTGGACACAGTGGGTAAGCACAGAGAGCTGGGGGTGGACCCTACTTGTTGCGGGCTGGCAGGGTGGCCGAGGGCCGGTGGGGAGGCCCAGGCCTGCGGCGGTAGGAGCGGTAGTGCTGCTGGATGAGCACAGCCGCTCGGCGGCTCTGCTGAAATCGCTTCTGTTCATAGTAGCTTCGGAACTTGCTCTGGATCAGGATGGCCGCCTGGGTCATCTTCTTATAGAGTGCAAACTGCAGGGGTGGGGAGGAGGGACAGGGGCTGAAATAGAGGGACAAAGACCCAAAGCCCTGAGGGTCACCCAAGTTAGGCTGATGCAAGGCTCTTTCTCTAACCCACACACTCAAGGAAAGACTGAATCATCACAGACAACTCACACGGCCTCATGCCTAATACCTTAAGTGCAATCCAGGTCAGCTTGTGGAGAGAGAAGGGGAGTTAGGGCTCTGGCAACATTGTGGAATGGTTAGGCGTGGGTGTGGATGTGGGTATGGGTTGGTGGATACACTTTTGAGGGAGAAAGTTCTCACCTGCTTGTACTTCCGGTAACAGCGCTGGATTACAGCTGCTGCTACCTCCTGCTGCTCCTTCAGCCGCCGGCCCTGAGGGGAAAGAAGTCTCAGCACCTCATGACCCACATAATGGGATATTTGATTTGTCCCTCCAACTTTTCTGGAGTTCCTCTGGCCCTTTACCCTATCCAAGGCCTGTCTGCATGACTACTCATCCTCCAAAAGCCCGGGGAGCCCACGGTATCCCCTGATTCAAGACTGTAGCTCATCCTGAGACCTGTGCCCCTCTGACCTTGTACTTCCGGAAGGCAGTCTGGATGACTCGGGCTGCCTCATACAGTTCCCGCTGCTCATGATCTGATAGTGTCAGCAAGGCAAAATCACTTTCCATCTTGCCACTGGTAGATGCAGAGAGAAACTCTGCCCAGGAGGGTGCTGGAGGGACAGCCAGGCGACCTCGCTCAAAGGGCAGTTCGCTGGGGGATAGAGAAAGAGGGTGTCATGAAGCATCTAAAGTCCCTCTTCTGCCTCCTATGGATGGCTATGAAGGAATCTGGAGGGCGGCTTAAGAGTTCAGCCAGTTCAGTTCCCTTCTCCAAGGCCCTGGGGCCTCTACCAGAAAGGAGCTTTGGCTGTGGGAAAACCAGCTTTTTCCCTTCCTCCCACTTCCTTTGAAGAATCTGGAGGCTTTGTCCTGAGCTGGTCACCTTGGAGGGGTTGAGCTGGGGAAATGGTCCACATTCTCCAGGTAGCTGGCCAGCCAGGACATGGTCTCACTGAGCCCCACAGCTCCTGTCCGCTCCCGCATTGAGGCTCCAGCCTCAGGTAGACCCACGAAGTCCTCTCGTTTAATCCGCTCTGGTGTGGCTTCGATGATCTGCTTGGCCAGTGAGATCATGTCCACCTGGATGGAGGGACAAGCTGAATGAACCCTTAGGGGCCCCACCTGCCCAATGTTCCTGCCCTGCCAAAGCTATAACCTCAGTCCATTCCTTTCTCATTCCTTCTCTCACTGGCAGGCACTGGTAACCCTGTCTTACTGGGTCACTGTTCCAGACTCATTCATTTATACTGATTGGGCTGCCACTTGGGTCCCTTTGTGCTGAGATGCTGTGGAGAATATAGGATAAAAAGATGATACTCCAAATGGGGATTCAGAAGCTGAACAAATGGAGGACTTGACACCCTTTTAGGCCAACCATCCACTGTCCTACCTGGGCCTGCCTTATGCCAGCTGGCCAGCACATCATCCTCATATGCTTGGCTGTGCCCACCCCCTACTCCCCTTCAGCTTACCAGGAACCAGTCCAACACTTGCCAACTATTACCCTGATGAATGGCTTCCATCTGGCCTTTGCTCCAGCACTTACTGCTGGACACACTCAATACAGCCTACCTGTGGAGTTCTCAAAGTTTTTTGTACCTAAAATGCCACCCACTTACTCCATTAGTCTCTCTAAAGGAGATATGTCCCAAAAGTGTCTAGCAGAGAAGAACAAGCCTGTACTTGAAGATTCACTTTCATTCCACAAGACTTTCTCAGCTTTATCATGTGCAAGCTTCCTTCCTGCATCAGATCACTGCCAGATACCCTTATCTTGCCAACCTTACCTCTCCACACAACTCCCAGCTGCCTGCATCATCCTGGTTCTCCTAGAACCTTGTCCCTACATGGATCAACAGGTAACTCCTACAATCCAGCCTCTAACTGAAGATATTCCCCAGAATTTTTGTTACAGAGACAGGGTCTCTGTTGCCCAGGCTGGGGTGCAGTGGCATAGTCAGCCCACTGCAACCTCATACTCCTTGGGGTCAAGGGGTCCTCCTACCTCAGCCTCTCAAGTAGCTACAATTACATAATTTTTTAAAAATTCCATTTTGTGGAGATGGGGTTCTTGTTATGTTGCCCAGACTTGGTCTCAAACCCCTGGCCTCAAGTGATCCTCTCACCTTGTTCCCTGAAAGTGTTGGGATTACAGGTGTGAGCCATCGTACCCAGACAGAATTTTAAATACTTTTTATATTTTTTGTCTTTTTAAAAATTTTTTGAGACAGAGTCTTGCTCTGTCACCCAAGCTGGAGTTGCAGTGATGCAGTCTTGGCTCATTGCAGCCTATGCCTCCCAGGTTCAAGTGATTCTTGTGTCTCAGCCTCTCAAGTGGCTGGGATTACAGGCATGTGCCATCATGCCCAGTTAATTTTTATATTTCTTGTAGAGATGAGGTTTCGCCATGTTACACAGGCTGGTCTCAAACTCCTGGCCTGAAGTGATCCACCCGCCTCGGCCTCTCAAAAGTGCTGTGATTACAGGCATGAGCTACCAAGCCTGGCAAAAAAAAAAAATTTCCCTGTATCTGAATTATGGGACCAGCCAGAATTTTTAACCTCTGCTGCCTCATGACTTCCAAGTCACATGGTCTGAAAGGAGCTAAGCCTGTCCCAAAGTGAAGTAAATGGCCCCTTCCTAAATTGAAGCCAGACTTTTTGATTCTGCCTCATGGAAGCTGGCCTCACCCCATCTCTACACCCTACTGCACTTCTAGCCCCCATAACTCCATCAATATAAGCAGTACCGGGATCACATCCACAGCCTGTGGGCTGTCAGCATCCTCTGGAGTAGCTCCATCATCTGAGGCTGGTGGGAGGGTAGTAGGGGAGGAGAGAGGCCCCTTGGAATTGGTAGCCTCATAGTCCATGAGAAGTAGGGGGGCCTCTGGGGCACCAGAGGAAAGCTGGCCTGGGGCCACATCCTCCATAGTAATCTCAGAGGCTGGCAGAGATGCAGGGGGGGGACTGCCATCTGGGGCACTAGAATAGGCAGATGTGACGGAGAAAGTGCCATCCGACAGCTCTGAGGGTGAGGAGACGCTGCTCAGACCTGTGTGGTGAGGGAAGAGAGTGAGGGCAGTAGGAGCCACAGCCATCCCTCACTTGAGTCTTTTGCCTCCCCCATCCTGTTCTCAGTCTCCCTGTTTTTGCTTCTGTTATCTCCCATCTCTGTCTCTGGTTTGTCTCCTCTCTTACTTGTTTCCCACCCTTTGTGTTTGCCCTGACCTCTCCTTCTATCCACATCCCTCTCTCCAAAAGATTAGGGCCACTCTCACCAGTGTCTGGGCTGGAGGAGGGTGGTGATAGGGCAAGCGGGGGCTCCATTGAAGCTTCCTGTCTCTGTAGTTCTTCAAGGCAGCGGGCAAGACGCACATGACCCCGGGAATGAGCCACAGACAATGGCAGACGGCCCAGAGAATCAGGAATGCTCAGTGCCTGTCGGTTCCAACGGAAAAGGAGCACAGCAGCTTCCAGGTGTCCCAGGGCACAAGCCCACATCTGAGAAAGGAGGCAGGAGACGGAGGTGGAGGTGAGGCCTGGGGCTCCTCCTCCAGGTAGTCAGGTCTTCAGACCCTAGCCCCCCACTCCCTGCATTCCTCAGGATCTTCCCTTTCAAGGGCTGTTCCCATTGCCCACTGCCCCATGTGCACTCAGGAATCATCCTCACCAGAGGGGTGCAAGAGAAATGATCCACGTTGAGTGGGTCAACCTCTTGCTCTAAGTCCAGGCTTCCAGTCTCCACACTCCTGGATGGTTTGGGAGAGAGATGACAGAGCCCAATCAGGGAAAAAGTGGGCAAAGTAGGAATATCAGAAGTAAAGGGACTAGGAGGCAAGCTGTACAGGGCTGGTGGGAAGAGGCAGTCAAGGACATTAAGGAGGTCAAGAAGTCAAAGTGTCATAAATCAGGATATGAAAGTTCCCCAAGATATCAGTCCTCTCTCAGCCCGCTCCCTTCCCACAATGACCCCAGCTCCCTCTTGACAGGGCCCCAGGTCCTCCAGTTCCTCCTCAGTCCCCTGACACTTCTGTTGCAGAGGCTGCCCAGCCCCCACCCAGCTGCCATTGCTCACCGCCACTGGCTCAGGGTCTCGATGAGGCGGGCATAGCCCTGGGCAGCAGCCAGGTGCAGAAGGCTCATGCCCCGGAAGGGGCTTCCATGGGCCAGATGTTCAGGACCCTTCCAGGTGGTGCGTGGGATCATGCTTTCTACCAAGACCACTACCCGTGCCTCGAACCCAGGCCCCTGGCCTTCATCCTGTGATATACACACTCTTAGGCAGAGACCTGAGCATCTGCTCCCCTGCTTTAGAATGGTCACCTCACACCTGTCCTCCCAGCTTCTAATTTTGCCCCCTCCCCACACGTCCCATTCTAGGATCCCGCCACCAGGACCTTTGATGGCCCATCAAGTTCCTGTGTGGCCTCAGTGTCTCCTACTCCCACAGCCACTTCCTCCAGCCCATCTAGCAGCCAGACCTCATACCATCTTGTGCATTTGCCTTCCCATCAACTCAGAGTACTGCCATATTCACACGTGGCTTCTCCCCCCTCAGAAGCCTCTGAGCCTTTCTTCAGCCCTCTTCTTTCAGAAACTTGGGACCCACAGAGGTCTGAGCCCCAATGCTCCTGACCCCTCCTCCCGCCCTCTTTTTCACCTCCACCCTTCTTCAGACCAGAAATAGTCTGAAGCCTGTCATGCCAAGAGGGTGCCCAGAATAGCCACTCTTGCCACAAGGTAGGGATGGGACAGGGTAACGTCAGGGAGAGGGAGGAGAGTCACACACGCTAGACATTTTCTTTAGCTGCGTCCTCCCCCCGCTCCCCACCACAGACCACTTTGCTCCTCACAGAAGTACCTGAATTGGAGGAGCATCAGGACCCTGGCAAGGTGCCTGCCCAGCTGCTGCAATCTCTGCCATCCGCTTCTCCATCTGCTCTAGTCGCTCTAGTATGGACATCCGGAACTGGTTGTCTGAGGGGGAATGGGTTTGGGAGGCTAAGTGGGCAGAGTCTAGGTGATGCCCTGAACACCAAGGCTGGACCTGTCCCAAGATCTGGGGATGAGGACACAGAATCATATTCTTTCATCTTTCCCAAAACAACAGCTCCTTTATCCACTCACCTAAATAAAGCGCACCAGAACTCAGTCCTTAAACTAGGGCTCTTAATATTACCTACTGACCTAGAATCCAGATCGGAACCAAAACTGTTTCCTTCAAGGTACAGAGATAGTAGGAATTCCCAAATAGCCATCCAGCCCCCAGCTGCCCCAAATCCCTCATGTACACACTCTTCCCCTAAGCCTTTTCCTGGGTGCAATGTTCCATCAGTTTTTGCAGCAGACACTACCTTTGTCCCCCATGCTGGAGCTGAAGGATTCCAGAGTCCTCCTCTCTAATAATGGCTGCCCCAAAGAGCTCAGGGACTGTGATTTGAAAAGCACCTCCCCCTCCTCCCAGCCCCCCGCAGCTGTCCACAAAGACTGTGGTGGGGGAGGGAAGGTGACAGAGATGGATAGCCATGTCCATTTTTCCTCCTCCTCCTCCTCCTCCCTCAATCCACAAATACACACACACACACACACACACACACACACACAAGCTATATCTGTCCCCTCCTGAGATCAAACAAGGACAAGAAGGGGAGGCAGGAGGGGATCAGAGCCATAGGAAAACTGACACAGAGAAACAAGGTGAAGGTTGGAGATGTTCTGAGATGCCAGGATAGAAGGGGATGAAGGCCCAGAGGCGACAGTAAGGGAGGACAGGACAGAGAATGATTAACAGAAACCCAAGTAAGAGAACAAAAAAGACGAAGGAGACAGAGGACAAAGGAGAGATAGGGGAAAGTGCCAAACAAGCAGTCATAAAGGACGATAAAAGAGAGGCAAGTTAAGACACTGGTTCAAGAAGAAATGAAGAGGAAGAGACTCACAGGAGAGATGGTAAAATGCACATTAGACTGGCACAGAAAAATAAGGTAATGAACAGTCACAGAGCAGGACAGAGACAGAACAGGACTGAGAGACCTAGCCAGATCTCTAGGTAGGCTCACTCAAGTCAGAGACAAGTAACCCAACACACACACACACAGGCTTTGTGATGGGGGCCAGCTCCAAGAGTGAGGCAAAACTAGGGACCAGAGCTTCGGAAAGAAAGAAATAAGGAGAGAGGGAGACTAAGGTAAACAACACGGACAGCAGTAGAACTGAGAGAAACCAAGAGGCAACAACAAAGACACAAGAGGAAGAGACAGAGAAAAGCAAACCTTGAGAAAGCAGCAGGTGCAGACAAACAATTCTCAAGGCTACAAGAGAGATAATAACAGGAACAAAAACAATCCCAGATTTAAAAAAACACACACACACATATACATGTATGTTTATGCATCTGTGTTTGTATTAGTACACCATGATCTTAGCAATGGATATCACTGAAAAGTAGCAGTATAGGAAATTTTTATTTTCTATTTTGTGCTTTTGTGTACTTTCCATATTTCCTTTAATGAACATGTCTTTATAATCAGAAGAGGAAAAACAATAGAAATTTAAATAGATAAGTATAGCCAGGTGTGATGGCTCATGCCTGTAATTCCAGCACTTTGGGAGGCTGATGGGGGCAGATCGCTTGAGGTCAGGAGTTCGAGACCAGCCTGGCCAACATGGTGAAACCTCATCTCTACCAAATCACAAAAATTAGCCAGACATGGTGGTGGGCACCTGTAATTCTAGCTACTTGGGAGGCTGATGCAGGAGGATTGCTTACATCTGGAAGGCGGAAGTTGCAGTGAGCCAAGATTGAGCCACTGCATGCCAGCCTGGGGACAGAGCGAGACTCCATCTCCAAAAGATATAATAAAATAAAATAAATATATAAGCATATATATACTTGTGCATAGTACCTATATATTGCTCTAGACCCTGTTCCTGTCCTGCCTCTTGGCCTTCCTTGTCTAGATTACACACTTTGAGATTGAGAGGGCAGGTCAAGAACTGGTATAGCCGGGTGTGGTGGCTCATGCCTATAATCCCAGCACTTTGGGAGGCTGAGGCAGGCGGATCACCTGAGGTCAGGAGTTTGAGACCAGCCTGGTCAACATGGTGAAACTCCGTCTCTTAAAAAAAAAAATTTAAAAAGAAAACTGGTGTAAAGGCCGGGCACCGTGGCTCATGCCTATAATCCCAGCACTTTGGGAGGCCGAGGTGGGCAGATCACAAGGTCAGGAGTTCAAGACCAGTCTGACCAACGTGGTGAAACTTTGTCTCTACTAAAAATATATAAATTAGCTGGACATGATGGCGTAAGCCTGTAATCCCAGCTACTCAGGAGCCTAAGGCAGGAGAATTGCTTGAACCGGGAGGTGGAGCTGAGATCGCACCATTGCACCCCACCCTGTGTGACAGAGCAAGACTTTGTCTCAAGAAAAAAAGAACTGGTATAAAAATGACCCCAAGATTTATGGGGAAGATGAAATTAGGGAAGTTTGCTGCTGCAGTTAAAAATCAGTAATGAAATGATTGAAAAAAAAAAAAGAATGATAAAGTGGGAGCTCAGTGGTGGCCACCTGAAACCTGAGGGGTCTTGGAGCATGTCATGCTCAAAGGCTGTGGGCCCGATACTTGGGGTCAGAGGGCTAGGTACTTACCGTCCAGTGACAGCCAGTCAAGTTGAGTACTAGGCAGAGACAGGAATCGGCGGGCTCGATACTCAAAAAGCACAGAAGCAGAAAGAGGCCCCTCCTGCCCTGCCACCTGCAAAGACACCAGCCCTACCTCATGGGCTGGAGAGGGCAGCATCAGCAAGAAGGGCTCTCTTTCCCTGGCTCCTTCTCTGGCTATCTGTGTCAGAGCCATAGACAATCATTCCATATCTATTTCCCCTACTGCCCTGCTGTGGGCCAAGAGGCCCCTGGCTTCAGTGGCCTTGGCACTAACTGGGAAGGGAGTCTATTCATTTGAGAACTTACTACATATTATAGGCCAGAGATCCCTTGGATTCTAGACCCTGTTGAAGATATTTGTTATTCAGCAAGAAAGTTTGGAAACTGAGGGTCAAGAGACTCCTATAGATATGAACAATCTGATGGTGGATAAACCTCGTGATCCCCAGATTAGAGTCCAGAAGTTATGACCCTGTTACTAAGATGGAGGAAAGGATAGCTAGCTGCTCATAAACAGTGTCCAGTGGCCATAAGGATGGAACCAGCAGGCCCTGATCCTAAGACCAGGTGCTGAGATGTTTTCTCCCAATCCCCAGCTTATCTGGTCTCATCCCCTTTCCTTACACACATGTTGAATGGGGCTGTAGAGACTGGGAAGAACACACTAATAGACAGCAAAGCTGCCAATCTGTCACTCTGGTGGTCCTTGAGGTCCCATAGTAAAGCTGATTTTTGAGTGCAGGGTTAAGGGCAAGGCTGGTGGCAAAAGAGCAGAGATGAACCTTGGCAATGACCTATTAGACCTATTAGACCAGTGCTGTCCAATAGGACATTTCTGCAATGACAGAAATGTTCTATATCGGCACTATCCAATAGGGTAACACCAGCCACCTGTTGATACTGAGGACTTGAAATGTGGTCAGTGAGACTGGGGAAGTGAATTTTAAGTATTTTTTAACTTTAATTAAATAGGCACATGTGGCTAATAGCTACCATACTGGACAATACAGGTCTAAAAGCCAATGTCCTCCTGTCCCAGGACTGGTTAGAGGAAAGCCACAGTTCATTTTTCTCATTCTCCCTGGATTGGAGTTGGAGACTAGCTCTAACTAAGCCAGAAAGCCTGGACGGACATTAGAAATCCCTTTGGTCAGTGCCTAACCCTACAGGAGGGGAGGCCAAGGACCTCAGGAAGGATCAGACTCATCTGAGGTCACTGGTCAGCTAAGGAGTAGATTTCTTGAACCAGAACCTAGATCTTCTGACACCTAAGTCCAGGCTCTTCTGCCTGCTGGGGCTTGGCGCTCAAACTCAGGACTGGATGAAGTCCTTGTGCTCTCAAAACAACCCATTTGTTCCCTTTTTGGAAGCCTGGAGGTCCTGATCTGTCCTAACTGCCCACATGTTAATCCCTCCCTCTATTGTTCCCAATCCCCATACCTGGACAGTAGCAGCGTAAGACACCAGGCTGGACAAGTGAGGCTGGCACTGCGATGTGATCAAAGACACAGGAGTAATGCTCGGAGGCCTCGGTCCAGGGACCTGTGATGAGCACCTTGACCCCACCCTGCAGACAGAAGTCAGAGAGCATGTGACTGGAGTTGGGTGTTCATCCACCCACTCATTCATTCATTTATTCAGACCCTTAGAGGGTATCTACCATATGGCAGGTCCTGTGCTAGAGTCTGGGGGTACAGGGATAGACAGGACCCAATGGGGTGAGGTCAGTTAGTCTGTCCCTCCCCAGCATTCCTGCCAAGTGGTTACCTAGTCTCTACCTGAATCTGCCAGCAACTGGGGATTCAGGGCCTCCCCCAAAGCTATCACAGAGCTGTCACCAGAAGGAAGTTCTGTTCTTGGGCTAATTCACCCCCACTGTAGTTCCTCCTTTTCATCTCAGAGGAAGCATAAAACAGAACTTCTCTACTGCTGAAAACAGTCTTTCAGCTACTCAAAGTCTGCAGTCACATCCCCAGAGTTTTTCTTCTTCTCTAGGCTGCACAGTCCCCAGTTCCCTACCCCTGAAAACAGTTAGCAAAGGAATGAGGTCCTAGGAAACTCCAGAAACCATGCTAACACGTGGAAGGGAGAGGAAAAGAAAAAGGGTTAAGTTGCTGAGGACTCTGGAAACAGGAAAGTAGCTTCACTCCACGTAAAAAAAGAGATTGGCAGCCAGGTGCAATGGCTCATGCCTGTAATGCTAGCACCATGTGAAAAGCCGAGGTGGGCAGATCACGAGGTCAGGAGTTTGAGACATGGTGAAACCCTGTCTCTACTAAAAATACAAAAATTAGCTGGACATGATGGTGGGTGCCTGTAATCCCAGCTACTGGGGAGGTTAAAGCAGGAGAATCATTTGAACCCAGGAGGTGGAGGCTGCAATGAGATGAGATTGCACCAGTGCAATGGGTGACGGGGAGACTCCGTCTCAAAAAAAAAGAGATTGGGTAGAGAACTAAGAAGCCATGAAAACAGGGAAACTAGGTC